TGCTTTAGGTGCAAGGTTAGGTTGTTTATTCAAGCTGTTTCCTGTTTCTTAAGGTAGGATTTTACTGCTATAAACTTCCCTCTTAGCACTGCTTTTGCTGCATCCAATAGATTTTGGTTCACGGTGTCTCCATTGTCATTTGTTTCTAGGTATTTTTTGATTTCCTCTTTGATCTCTTCAGTGATCACTTTGTTATTAAGTAGTGTATTGTTTAGCCTCCATTTGTCTGTATTTTTTAGAGATCTTTTCTTGTAATTGATATCTAGTCTCATAGCATTGTGGTTGGAAAAGATACTTGATACAATTTCAATTTTCTTAAATTTACCAAGGCTTGATTGGTGACCCAAGATATGATCTATCCTGGAGAATTTTCTATGAGCACTAGAGAAAAATGTGTATTCTGTTGTTTTTGGATGGAATGTTCCATAAATATCAATTAAGTCCATATTGTTTAATGTATCATTTAAAGCTTCTGTTTCTGTATTTATTTTCATTTTGGATGATCTGTCCATTGGTGAAAGTGGGGTGTTAAAGTCCCCTACTATGAATGTGTTACTGTCTATTTCCCCTTTTATGTCTGTTAGTGTTTGCCTTATGTATTGAGGTGCTCCTATGTTGGGTGCATAAATATTTACAATTGTTATATCTTCTTCTTTGATCGATCCCTTGATCATTATGTAGTGTCCTTCTTTGTCTCTTCTAATAGTCATTATTTTAAAGTCTATTTTGTCTGATATGTGAATTGCTACTTCAGCTTTCTTTTGGTTTCCATTTGCATGAAATATCTTTTTCCATCCCCTTACTTTCAGTCTGTATGTGTCTCTAGGTTTGAAGTGGGTCTCTTGTAGACAGCAAATATATGGGTCTTGTTTTTGTATCCATTCAGCCAATCTGTGTCTTTTGGTGGGAGCATTTAGTCCATTTACATTTAAGGTAATTATCGATATGTATGTTCCTATTTCCATTTTCTTAATTGTTTTGGGTTCATTATTGTAGGTCTTTTCCTTCTCTTGTGTTACTTGCCTAGAGAAGTTCCTTTAGCAGTTGTTGTAGAGCTGGTTTGGTGGTGTTGATCTCTCTCAGCTTTTGCTTGTCTGTAAAGGTTTTAATTTCTCCATCAAATCTGAATGAGATCCTTGCTGGGTAGTGTAATCTTGGTTGCCAGTTTTTCTCCATCATCACTTTAAATATGTCCTGCCAGTCCCTTCTGGCTTGCACAGTTTCTGCTGAAAGATCAGCTGTTAAATTTATGGGGATTCCCTTGTGTGTTATTTGTTGTTTTTCCCTTGCTGCTTTTAATATGTTTTCTTTGTATTTAATTTTTGACAGTTTGATTAATATGTGTCTTGGTGTGTTTCTCCTTGGATTTTTCCTGTATGGGACTCTCTGTGCTTCCTGGACTTGATTAACTATTTCCTTTCCCGTATTAAGGAATTTTTCAACTATAATCTCTTCAAATGTTTTCTCAGTCTCTTTCTTTTTCTCTTCTTCTTCTGGAACCCCTATAACTTGAATGTTGGTGCGTTTAATGTTGTCCCAGAGGTCTCTGAGACTGTCCTCAGTTCTTTTCATTCTTTTTTCTTTATTCTGCTCTGCAGTAGTTATTCCCACTAGTTTATCTTCCAGGTCACTTATCCGTTCTTCTGTCTCAGTTATTCTGCTATTGATCCCATCTAGAGTATTTTTAATTTCATTTATTGTGTTGTTCATCCTTGTTTGTTTCATCTTTAGTTCTTCTAGTTCCTTGTTCAATGTTTCTTGCATTTTGTCCATTCTATTTCCAAGATTTTGGGTGATCTTTACTATCATTATTCTGAATTCTTTTTCAGGTAGACTACCTCTTTCCTCTGCATTGTTAGGTCTGGTGTGTTTCTATCTTGCTTCTTCATCTGCTGTGCGCTTTTCTGTCTTCTCATTTTTCTTATCTTACTGTGTTTGGGGTCTCCTTTTTTCAGGTTGCAGGTTCGTAGTTCCTGTTGTTTTTGGTGTCTGTCCCCAGTGGCTAAGTCTGGTTCAGTGGGTTGTGTAGGTTTCCTGGTGGAGGGGACTAGTGTCTGTGTTCTGGTGGATGAGGCTGGATCTTGTCTTTCTGGTGGGCAGGTCCACGTCTGGTGGTGTGTTTTGGGGTGTCTGTGGACTTATTATGATTTTGGCAGCCTCTCTGCTAATGGGTGGGGTTGTGTTCCTGTCTTGCTAGTTGTTTGCCATAGGATGTCCAGCACTGTAGCTTGCTGGTCATTGAGTGAAGCTGGGTGCTGGTGTTGAGATGGAGATCTCTGGGAGACTTTCACCATTTGATATTATGTGGAGCTGGGAGGTCTCTTGTGGACCACTGTCCTGAAGTTGGCTCTCCCACCTCAGAGACACAGCACTAACTCTTGGCTGCAACACCAAGAGCCTTTCATCCACATGGCTCAGAATAAAAGGGAGAAAATGTAGAAAGAAAGAATTAGTAGAACTAGAAAGAAAGGAGAGAGGGAGGAAGGAAGGAAGGAAGGAGGGAAGGAAGGAAAAAAAGAAAGAAAGAAGATAAAGTAAAATAAAATAAAGTAAGGGAAAATATAATAAAGTTATTAAAATAAAAAAAAATAATTATTAAGAGAGAAAAAACAAAAAATCAGACAGATAGAACCCTGGGACAAATGGTGGAATCAAAGCTATACAGACAAAATCTCACACAGAAGCATACAAATACACACTCACAAAAAGAGGAAAAGGGGAAAAAATCATAAATCTTGCTTTCAAAGCCGACCTCCTCAATTTGGGATGATGCGTTGTCTAAAGGAGGGAAGGAATGAAAGAAAGAATGAAGAAAAAGTAAAATAAAATAAAGTTATTAAAATAAAAAGTAATTATTAAGAAAAAATTGAAAACAAACCAAAAAAATACGAACGGATAGAACCCTAGGACAAATGTTGGAAGCAAAACTATATAGACAAAATCTCAAACAGCAGCATACACATACACACTCACAAAAAGAGGAAACGGGGAAAAAATCATAAATCTTGTTCTCAAAGTCCACCTCCTTAATTTGGGGTGATTCATTGTCTATTCATGTATTCCACAGATGCAGGGTACATCAAGTTGATTGTGGAACTTTAATCTGCTGCTTCTGAGGCTGCTGGGAGAGATTTCCCTTTCTCTTCTTTGTTCTCACAGCTCCCAGGATCTCAGTTTTAGATTTGCCACATTCTGTAGCATTCTGTGCATTTGTGTCTGTTTTTATTATGGTATACTGAAGATTTTCTCTAAGTAAATTAGCGATAAGCCAATAATTTTTTTTTTTTTTCTTTTTCTGTATGCGGGCCTCTCACTGTTGTGGTCTCTCCCGTTGTGGTGCACAGGCTCTGGACGTGCAGGCTCAGCAGCCACGGCTCACGGGCCCAGCCGCTCCACAACATGTGGGATCTTCCCGGACCGGGGCAAGAACCAGTGTCCCCTGCATCAGCAGGTGGACTCAAACACTGCGCCACCAGGGAAGCCCAAGCCAAGAAATATGTATGAAGAGTTTATATCATTAAGTAGTTGAGGGAGGTTAACAAATTATTTTCAATGTTAATTCTTATCATTCTTTCATATTAATATGCAACCTGAACATTTTATCATTTAGTGAATTAATCAGATTTATTGAGATTTATTTATTTATTTATAAAATTTATTTATTTATAAAATTGCTTAATCTTAATGTAAAATGCATTAAATTCTTCTTCTCTTGTAGAACGAATCACACACTTTTGCTCTAGCCTGTAAAGGCAGGCATTATATCCAACTTATTCTCCTATCACAGAGTGTTTGACTGCACCAAATCCATAGGAGCTGCTTAGCAAATATTTGTTAATTAAAGTTAATAATCACAGAACAAAATTTTTCTCTAATTTTTGCTATTTTGAAAGGAATTGCAGTATTAAAACATAAAATCAAATATACTATTATCCTCAAGAAACTTACAGTCTGAAAATAGTTTCAATTTTTTTTTAACTTTTGATTTTCCCTGAAATATCCTAAAATATTTTTCTCTTTTAATCTCCATGTGTTCTGATACTAAGTTCAACTCAGCACAGGTAAATCAATATGTGGAGTAGATTGGTTGCAGAGAAGGCAAAGGTAGATTGAGAGGCACCTGGGTCCCTTTTGTGACTCATGCTACTTACAGCTAGTTTGGATTCTGCATTGGTTTCCCTTGGCAAATCCTAATAAGACCTGTTGTGTTGGTGTCCATACATTTTAACATTTTTGCTCTAAAATGTGTTCCAACTGAGTTAATATATTGTATGGTTACTCTACCTATGACTTCCTCATTCCATCATCACCAGTTTGTCATCTAGATTTTTCAAAGTTCCCACCCTGTGAGTACCTAAGAATGTGCAGGGACTTTTAGATAGCTCACCTTAGTTTGAGAAAGTCTAAAATTAAGTATAAATAAACACAAAAGTCCTGCAAATTACCACTCCTTAGTTGGTTCAATAAGTATGCCACACAGCAATGTCTGAGATCCAATTCATGTATTGTTAGAAAAAATTTAGAAGCTTCAGTCCAAATGTACCAGATGCTTCATGTCAAACACCAGCGGCAGCATTGCTATTAGCATCATAATAAAGGACAAGATGACACATTAGATATCAAAAGAATGGCTTATATTTTTTCTCTTACTAAATTATAGGAGTTGCCAAACATCTAAATTTGTATTGAAAACTTTGCTTTTTCTAACTGAAGCTGGATATTGACCCCGCTCTATTTTTCCTTAATTTGCAAAATGTTCCCAGTACATAAATATCTGGGTACGTGTACAAGTTTTAAATATTATAATCACATTCTTAAAATAATTTATATTTTTGTCTGTTACAATTTTGATTTATGCATGATATAAATGACTTTGGTTATGGTCTTTTGATACTTGAAACGTTATCTTGCCCAAGCAATCAGAGTAACAAATACAATTATTCAAACCAACCGATCTCATTTTGGCAGAAAAGAAACCATAGCTGTGAAATCTAACTAACTGCCTAGTTTTCAATTTTCTATATGTTTCAATCATCTTGAGGACATAAGGATCATTCAAGATTTGATGTATTTTTTTCAAATGTGTACCTTAATGGATGAAGGGTAAGTTTTAGATTCAAACTGATCTGGGCTTGAATCCCAAGTAAGTCAATTACTAGCTTTGTGAGTTGGGCAAGTTATTTGATCTTTTTCAGCTTCACTATCTTTGTAAAATTAAAATAACAATGCTTCCCTTCAGAAGGTTACAGGATTATGTGAGATAATGTACTTAATATGTCCAGCACAGTGCCTGGCACATAATACGGGCTTATTGTTTTTCTTTTTTTTTTTTTCCCCAACAAAATTACCAGTGTGTTGAAGGAAGGAGCTGTACTTATTATTCTTTGTCATATCTCTTTCTTACTTGTCTATCTTATTTTCTCAAAAGTGCCACCTACATGGTACTCAATAAAAATATACTGACTCCATTTAATAATTTCTAGAATTTGACTATAAGTCCGAATTTCTTAAGCTCTGTCTGATAATACTGATCACTTTACCTGTGCTCTAAATCCTGTCCTCTCTAGTCTAATCTGATAATCTCAACTCACAAATATTGCCTCCTCTCAACTTTACTTTCAACCCATTCATATACACTAGCACTGTTCTTTCAGCTTGTAAATATTATATTCTCAAGCTAATCTTTCCAAGAAGAAGGAGGTGTAGGAGAAGGAGAAGAAAAAGAGGAAGACCCAAAAATAAAAATAAAATAAAATAAAATAAAAAAGAGAAAGACCCCTTCATCCTATATTCTAATCTAGCATGCCAATATTCTTCTCCCTAGAACCATGCTCTTTGCAATAACAATAGGCATTCTTATCTTGGTTTTGTCACCCATCATTTTTTTCCTTAACCCTTAGCAACCTGATTTCTGACTCACTTTTCAGTGTTTTTGCTCTCTCCAAAAACACTAGTAGCCTACTATTTGCCAAATCCAGAGATATTTGTCAGTCCTTATCCTGCCTTCCCTCTTTACTTGACCTCTCTACTGATCTGAGCTCTCTGTCTAATGCTTAAAATAACGAGTCAGAAGGAAAACCCAACTTTCCATTCATTAGTTAAGCCAACCACTCATAGAGGAAAAGAAAATCTGAATTTGTTTGATTATTGCACTTTCATCTGTTATAATTGTATATTCACTTAAATTAGCATTGTCAATTAAACTATTTGCAACTCAAACAGGGGGTTTTAGATGTTTTTCTATTGATATTGGTTATTCACCATTAATAATCTCCCTTGATAAATATACAAAATTAGCAATTTAAAATATTTTTTTGAAAAATAGGCATAAATTCTTTGATGTTATCAGAAATTTATCATCCAGTTTTAGTATTATGGATTTCCTGATATTTGTCTTGCTTCTGAAGTGATAATTTTTGTTCATTCAGCCAAATCTATCTAGCCAAAGAAAAAGATAAGGATTTTACATAAATGTATATCAAAGAAACTTCTTAAGCATATCATTGTCACTATGATAGATATTTATTTTAAAAAATACCAAGCTTTATTCTGTTAGGAGAATAGGAATTGACTGGAAAGAGAGGGTTGAAGAGGAAGGATGGGTCAGGGAGGCTGTGGCAGACACTCAGATTTAGAGGTAAGTGGGAGCATGGGGTTTTCTAGGAACTGAAAGAAGGCTAATGGACCCAGAGAAGTAGATAAGGAAAAGATCTTGACAGCCCTTTGGAGCATTTAGAGATTTTAGTCTTTATCTTAAAAATAATGTAAATATTTAGTAATACTTTAAGCTTGATGAGGGAGAGATGAAGGAATAGATGAACTTTATAAAAATATCAGTTTGGCTACAGATTGGACAGGAACCACAGTAAGTGCAAAAAGGCTGTTAGCATGCTACTGTAGTAGCCCAGGAAAGAGATTATGAGAATTTGGAGGACTAGAATTAGTGACAGATGCAATACATGTTTAGAAAGTAAAACTAAAAGTGAAAGGAGTTGGTGAAAGTTTATATAAAGTGTTGTGAAGGTAAGAGCAGTATAAAGTAATTCTTTAAAATATTTAATTGAGCAGCTCCAATGTGAATAATTGAATAAGTAATGTAGAGGAGACCAGGTTGTGATCAGAGAGAATACTAAAATCACGACTTTTGGTGAGAGTAGAGATGGCAAAGATTGAGATAATAAGGAGGGTAGGAAGAGGAGCAGGAAACTGCAATCAACTAAGAGCAAGACATTGGAGGATCAGATGTTGGACTGGCCATGCATATGAACACTGGAGTCACCTTATATACTAGAGATGAAGGCTGAGAGTAAGATAAAAACATCTTCAAAAAATAAAACAAATGAGCTATTGGGAGAAACAATATTTAATAGATGGATAGAGAAGCTTGCAAATGAAGCTGATAAGAAGCACATAATTTGGTTCGCATGAGTAGGGGATAGTGCATGTATAATTTAATTATCCCATCAGAGATAACGTTGGCCTTCTTGGAGAAGCAGACTAAGTGCACATTGCTGAGTGCCATAAAGTTCAGTCTCATTTTCTTCAAGAGGGACCTTTTGTAGTATATGTGGAAAGGGAGGATAACTAACATCTGTCACAAATCTTCCAGTTGCATCTACTTCTTCACGTCATATGCTCCTCAGTGTTTCCCTCAAATCTTTCTGAGCTTTGTTCTCTCGTACTAGAATCATTATACATTTGATGTGATACTGCTATTTCCTGCCTAATTGTGTTACAGGAGGTATTATATTATTTAATTCCTATAGCAGTACTCTAAAATACTGAATGTGTGCAACAGACTTCAGTGAAGCATTAGAGTGTGTGTGTGTGTGTGTATGTGTGTGTGTGTGTGTGTGCACATACATATACAGCTATCCAGAACCTCTGTATTAAGGTTCATCCTTAACATTTCTCCATAAGAGATCATTCATTGAACCACTCTTTCAGGAAATCTCCACACAGGAAGTGGTGCAATGAATTCAACATCATTTTAGTCAACAATCTTTATTCATCAGTGTGCTTTTCTTGTATGTTTAATATTAACATTTGAAACATGATTTTTTTAAAAAATTATGGAAAATTCTGAAATATTGACTTACAATTAATCACCCAAATAGTCAATCAATCAATCACAGATAGTATTTAGTTACCTTATGCAAGGTATTACATTAGAAAGCACTGAATTGACACACACAAACAAAAATCAGATTCACGCCTCTCAAGAAGATTTTAATCAAGTGCATGAAACAAAATACATATGCACCCAAGAGAGTCCATTTATTTAGCTATTATTTTTAAAAACATCTACTATTGGCAGGGAACCGTGATAGGTACTTCATATATGTCACTTTTAATCCTCTCAAGGTAGATATTTTTATTCTCATTTAATATATGAGAAAACTAAAGCTCAGAATTTTGGTGATAGAAAGTTCACTTTCAAATTTAAGAAATTAATTCCTTCCTAGAATAACATGTTCATAACAATAAATGGCATTTTGAACCAAAGTTACTATAATTAAGTGCAGAAAATTTCAAAAAATTAAAAACATACAGAACTTACTTTCTGACAAAAATAAAGGTAGGAATTTAAAAAAAACATGAAAAATTTATATGAAATATAATTCTAAATAATCAATAGTCAGGTTAGAATCATACTAGACTTTAGAAAATACTTGGCATCAGTGATAATAAAAATTATTCAGAGCAAAACCTGTGATATACAGTTAAAGTGAAATGTAAGTGTTTTCATTAGATAAGAAGAAAGCCTAATAAATTATGACCTAAGTATCCAATTTATGAACCTACAAAAAGAATAATAAGCAAATACATTTAGGTAGAGGAGAAAAAATATATAAGAGCAGAACTTAATTAAAAACATAAAACTGTGATGCAATAGAGAGAATTAAAAAAGTTACATGTGTTTGTATTAAATATCAATATAGTTAACATCTGGCAGGATGATAAGATTAAAATAATATACATTAAAGCCATACTAGAAGTAAAGCCCAGATAAATAGATGCAGCAGAGATCATCAAATTATGAGACAATATTATGAACTTGATGGCAATAATTTTTAAAACATAAATTATGTGAGCAAGGGAGATTAGTTCAAGATGGCAGAGTAGAAGGACATGCGCTCACTTCCTCTTGCAAGAGGACCAGAATCACAACAAACTGCTGAACAATCATTGACAGGAAGACACTGGAACTCACCAAAAAATACCCCACATCCAAAGACAAAGGAGAAACTTCAATGAGATGGGAGGAGAGGTGCAATCACAATAAAATCAAATGCCATAACCACCGGGTGGATGACTCATAAACTGTAAAACAATTATACCACAGACATCCACCCACTGGAGTGGGGGTTCTGAGCCCCACATCAGGCTTTCCAACCTGGGGTTCTGGCAATGGGAGGAGGAATTCCCAGACAATCAGACTTTGAAGCCTACCAGGATTTGATTACAGGACTTCAACAGGGTGAGGGGAAACAGAGACTCCACGCCTGGAGGGCAAATACAAAGTACTGTGTGCACCAGGACCCACAGGGAAGGAGCAGTGACCCCATAGGAGACTGAAATAGACCTATCTGCTAGTGTTGGAGGGTCTTCTTCAGAGGCAGGGGTTGGCCATGGCTCACCATGGTGACAAGGACACTGGCAGCAGAAGTTCTGGGAAGTACTCCTTGGTGTGACCTCTCCAGGAGGTGCCATTAGCCCCACCAAAGGGCCTGTGGGCTCAAGTGCTGGGTTGCCTCAGGCCAAACAACCAACATGGAGGGAACTCGGCTCCACCCATCCGCAGACAAGCAGATTAAAGTTTTACTGAGCTGTGCCCACCACCAGTCCCTCCCATCACGAAGCTTGCACAATCCTCTTAGATAGCCTCATGCACCAGAGGGCAGACAGCAGAAGCAAGAAGAACTACAATCCTGCAGCCTGTGGAATGAAAACCACATTCACAGAAAGATAGACAAAATGAAATGGCAGAGGACTATGTACCAGATGAAGGGACAAGATAAAACCTCAGAATAAACAACTAAATGAAGTGGATGTAGGCAACATTCCAGAAGAGGAATTCAGGACCTCGGAAAAAGAATGGAGGCAAAGATCGAGAAGATGTAAGAAATGTTTAACAAAGACTAGAATAATTAAAGAACAAACACCTAGAAGAATTAAAGAACAAGCAAACAAGGATGAACAATACAATAACTGAAATGAAAATACACTAAAAGGAATCAGTAGCAGAATAACTGAGGCAGAAGAAGAGATCAGTGACCTGGAATTCATTGCCACAGAACAGAATAAAGGAAGAATAATGAAAAGAAATGAAGACAGCCTAAGAGACTTCTGGTACAATATTAAACGCACAAACATTTGCATTAAAGGGGTCCCCAAAGGAGAAGAGAGAGAGAAAGGACCCGAGAAAATTTTAGAAGAGATTACAGATGAAAAGTTCCCTAACATGGGAAAGGAATTAGCCAACCAAGTTGAAGAAGTGCAAAGAGTCGCAGACAGGATAAATCCAAGAAGAAACATGCTGAGACACTTGGTAATTAAATTGGCAAAAATTAAAGACAGAGAAAATTTATTAAAAGCAACAAGGGAAAAACGACAATTAACATACAAGAGAATGCCTATAAGGTTATCAGCTGATTTCTCAGCAGAAACTCTACAATCCAGAAGGGAGTGGCACGATATATTTAAAATAATGAAAGGGAACAACCTGCAACCAAGATTACTCTACCTGGCAAGGATCACATTCAGGTTCAACAGGAAATCGAAAGCTTTACAGACCAGCAAAAGCTAAGAGAATTCAGAACCACCAAACCAGCTCTACAGCAAATGCTAAAGGAACTTCTCTAAGTGGAAAACACAAGAGAAGAAAAGGATCTAAAAAAAAAACAAATCCAAAACAATTAAGAAAATGGTAATAGGAACATACATATTAATAACTACCTTAAATGTGAATGGATTAAATGCTTAAACCAAAAGACACAGGCTCGCTGAATGGGTACAAAAACAAGACCCATATATATGCTGATTACAAGAGACTCACTTCAGACCTAGGGACACATACAGACTGAAAGTGAGGGGATGGAAAAAGATATTCCATGCAAATGGAAATCAAAAGAAAGCAGGAGTAACAATACTCATATCAGATAAAATAGGCTTTAAAATAAAGAATGTTACAAGAGACAAGGAAGGATACTACATAATGATCAAAGGATCAATCCAAGAAGAAGATATAACAATTTTAGACATATATGCACCCACCTTAGGAGCACCTCAACATATAAAGCAAATGCTAACAGCTATAAATGAGGAAATCAACAGTCACACAATAATAGTGGGAGACTTTATAACACCCCACTTATGCAAATGAACAGATCATCGAGACAGAAAATTAATAATGAAACAAAAGCTTTAAATGACACAATAGACCAGATAGATTTAATTGATATTTATAGGACATTCCATCCAAAACAGCAGATTACACATTCTTCTGAAGAGCATATGGAACATTCTTCAGGATAGGTCACATCTTGGGTCACAAACCAAGCCTCGATAAATTTAAGAAAATTGAAATCATATCAACCATCTTTTCTGACCACAATTCTATGAGATTAGAAATCAATTACAGGGAATAAAACATAGAAAACACAAACACATGGAGGCTAAACAATACGTTCATAAATAACCAAGAGATCACTGAAAAAAACAAAGAGGAAATCAAAAAATACCTAGAGACAAATGACCAGAAATGCACGACCATCCAAAACCCGTAGGATGCAGCAAAAGCAGTTCTGAGAGGAAAGTTTATAGCAATACAATCCTACCTCAAGAAACAAGAAAAGTCTCAAATAAACAATCTAACCTTACACCTAAAGGAACTAGAGAAAGAAGAAAAAACAAAACCCAAAGTTAGTAAAAGGAAAGAAATCATAGAGATCAGAGCAGAAATAAATGAAACAGAAACAAAGAAAACAAAAGAAAAGTTCAATAAAACTAAAAGTTGGTTGTTTGAGAAGATAAACCAGACTGATAAACCTTTAGCCAGACCCATCAAGAAAAAGAGGGAGAGGACTCAAATCAATAAAATTAGAAATGAAAAAGGGGAAGTTACAATGGACATTGCATAAATACAAAGCATCACAAGAGACTACGACAAGCAACTCTATGCCAATAAAATGGACAACCTGGAAAAAATGGACAAATTCTTACAAAGGTATAACCTTCCAAGACTGAACCAGGAAGGAATAGAAAATATGAGCAGACCAATCACCAGTAATGAAATTGAAACTGTGATTAAAAATCTTCCAACAAACAAAAGTCCAGGACCAGATGGCTTCACAAGTGAATTCTATCAAACATTTAGAGAAGAGCTAACACCCATCCTCCTCAAACTCTTCCAAGAAAACTTCAGAGGAAGGAACACTCCCAAACTCATTCTATGAGACCACTATCACCCTGATAACAAAACCAGACAAAGATACTACAAAAACAGAAAATTACGGACCAATATTGCTGATGAATATAGATGCAAAATCCTCAACAAAATACTAGCAAACAGAATCCAACCACATATTAAAAGGATCATACAGCAGGATCAAGTGGGATTTACCTCAGTGATGGAAAGATTCTTCAACATACACAAATCAATCAATGTAATACACCATATTAACAAACTGAAGAATAAAAACCATATGATCATCTCAATAGATGCAGAAAAAGCTTTTGACAAAATTCAACAGCCATTTATGATAAGAACTCTCCAGAAAATGGGCATAGAGGGAAGCTACCTCAATATAATAAAGGCCATATATAAGAAACCCACAGCAAACATCATTCTCAACAATGAAAAACTGAAAGCATTTCCTCTAAGATCAGGAACAGACAAGGATGTCCACTCTCGCCGTTATAATTCAACATAGATTTGCAGTCCTAGCCACGGCAATCAGGGAAGAAAAAGAAATAAAAGGAATACAGTTTGGAAAAGAAGAAGTAAAACTGTCACTGTTTGCAGATGACATGATACTATATATAGATAACCCTAAAGATGTCACCAAAAAACTACTAGCGCTAATCAATGAATTTGGTAAAGTTGCAGGATGCAAAATTAATGCACAGTAACCTCTTGCATTACTATACACTAACAATGAAAGATCAGAAAGAGAAATTAAAGAAACAATCCCATTCACCATTGCAACAAAATGAATAAAATACCTAGGAATAAACCTACCTGAGGAGGTTAAAGACCTGTACTCAGAAAACTATAATACACTGATGAAAGAAATGAAAGATGACACAAAAAATGGAGAGATGGGATTCCCTGGTGGCGCAGTGGTTGAGAGTCTGTCTGCCGATGCAGGGGACACAGGTTCGTGCCCTGGTCCGGGAGGATCCCACATGCCACAGAGCGGCTGGGTCCGTGAGCCATGGCCGTTGAGCCTGCGCATCCGGAGCCTGTGCTCAACAACAGGAGAGGCCACACAGTGAGAGGCCCACATACCACAAAAAAAAAAAAAAAAAAAAAAAGACTATACTACCCAAAGCAATCTACAGATTCAATGCAATCCCTATCAAATTACCAATGACATTTTGTAAAGAACTAGAACAAAATATCTTAAAATCTGTATGGAGACACAGAAGACCCCTAATAGCCAAAGCAGTCTTGAGGGATAAAAACAGAGCTGGAGATATCAAAATCCCTTACTTCAGACTACACTACAAAGATATAGTAATCAAGACAATATGGCACTGGAACAAAAACAGAAATAAAATCAATGCAACAGGATAGAAAGGTCAGAGATAAACCCATGCACCTATGGTCAACTAATCTATGACAAAGGAGACAAGTATATACAATGGAGAAAAGACAGTCTCTTCAATAAGTGGTGATGGAAAAACTGGACAGATACATGCAAAAGAATGAAATTAGAACACTCCCTAACACCATACACAAAAATAAACTCAAAATGGATTAAAGACCTAAATGTAAGGCCAGAAACTATCAAACTCTTAGAGGAAAAGATAGGCAGAACACTCTATGACATAAATCACAGCAGGATCCTTTTTGACCCACTTCCTGGACAAATGGAAATAAAAACAAAAATAAACACATGGGACCTAATGAAACTTCAAAGATTTTGCACAGCAAATGAAACCATAAACAAGACCAAAAGACAGTCCTCAGAATGGGAGAAAATATTTGCAAATGAAGCAACTGACAAAGGATTAATCTCCAAAATATATAAACAGCTCATGCAGATCAATATTAAATAAACAAACAACCCAATCCAAAAATGGGCAGAACACCTAAATAGACATTTCTCCAAAGAAGATATACAGACTGCTAACAAACACATGAAAGAATGTTCAACTTCATTAATTAGAGAAATGCAAATCAAAACTACAATGCGATATCATCTCACACCAGTCAGAATGGCCATCATCAAAAAATCTAGAAACAATAAATGCTGGAGAGGGTGTGGAGAAAAGGGAACCCTCTTGCACTGTTGGTGGGAATGTAAATTGATACAGCCACTGTGGAGAACAGTATGGAGGTTCCTTAAAAAACTACAAATAGAACTACCATATGACCCAGCAATCCCACTACTGGGCGTATACCCTGAGAAAACCATAATTCAAAAAGAGTCATGTACCAAAATGTTCATTGCAGCTCTATATACAATAGCCTGGAGATAGAAACAACCTAAGTGTCCATCATCGGATGAATGGATAAAGAAGATGTGGCACATATATACAATGGAATGGTTACTCAGCCATAAAAAGAAACAAAATTGAGCTATTTGTAATGAGGTGGATAGACCTAGAGTCTGTCATACAGAGTGAAGTAAGTCAGAAAGAGAAAGACAAATACCGTATGCTAACACATATATATGTAGAATTTAAGGAAAAAAATGTCATGAAGAACCTAGGGGTAAGACGGGAATAAAGACACAAAGAGAATGGACTTGAGGATATGGGGAGGGGGAAGGGTAAGCTGTGACAAAGCGAGAGAGAGGCATGGACATATATACACTACCAAATGTAAGGTAGATAGCTAGTGGGAAACTGCCGCATAGCACAGGGAGATCAGCTCAGTGCTTTGTGACCACCTGGAGGGGTGGGATAGGGAGGGTGGGAGGGAGGGAGACGCAAGAGGGAAGAGATATGGGAACATATGTATATGTATAACTGATTCACTTTGTTCTAAAGCAGAAACTAACACACCATTGTAAAGCAATTATACTCAAATAAAGATGTAAAAAAAAAAAGTGAAAATTAGTTGCTATCTTGCACATGTCTATGAGAGAATTTTTTCAAAACAAGGAACTTATCTTTGCATTTTTTTAATGGCATGTGTTTAACCTTGCTGGCAAAACAGAAAATAACCATATGAAAATGAAACATTACAGGTTAACCTCTTTTGTATGTATAATGGGAACATCTTAAAGATAATATTAGCTAACAAAATCTAGTGACATAACAGCCCAACCAAATTGGTTTATAAAAGAAATCCAAGTCTAATTCAACATTAGAAAACTTATTAATGTGATGTAATTTATTACATTTAC